TGCTTCCATAAGTGTAGGTCAAGTTCATCAAATTGTATCAGATCATTGTTGTTGTTTTTTTCCTCTTCTTTTTTCTTCTAGTTGAGCTCTGATCATCCAGCCATTGAGGCCAAGTCAAGTGGGTATTATCTGCAAGTGTGGGTGTTCTTGTGCATATGCCCTCTCTTCTTATTAGCTGGATGCTTCACTGTCAACTCTAGTCCTTTGTGGCTATGCCACTGACTCTGGGTCCAAGAGTCCCCTGGACTTGCCACACTGATTCCAACCAGGTCTCCAGCTGGGTTCACAGGAGTCTATTAAACGTTGTAGGGGTTAGCTCGCAGCTTCATTGCTGCATTTCCTTCACTTCCACTTATCCATGATGAATGTGGTCACCAATCAGAGTGTGTATTCCCATTGAGTCTTAGTCTTAGAAAGAGGTTTGCACTTGAGGAGATCCGACCACTTGCCTTGATGTCTCCTGTGTGAGTCACTTGTTTGTTCTTGTAGTAATCAGTTGATCTGCCTGTATTGTTTTGTATTTTTCCTGTCAGTCTTCCTTTCAATAAGTATCTTCTGTTGTTCTGGCTGCTCCAGGCTGGTCTGCTTGTCCTTTCAAGTGGAAATTTCCCCTCAAAAGATTCTGGATGCTGTTCAGGATTCCCCCTATGATCTTGTATAATGCAGAGGCTCCACAGGAAGTCTCCTTCACTGGACACATTGTAGCCACTTTTTAGGTATTCCAGTCAGTTATAGGCAGAAGACAGACTTACAGGCTTTCTATGGTGATATTTCTGGCTATTCCTTTCTCTCCCCCTCCAGTGTCTATTTTATAGAAGTATGCCAGGGAAACCAAGATTCAAAAGGCAACCAAGCAGATAGTGATAATTTTTTATCTTTGATTTGTTTGTACTGTCTTTTGTTTTCTCTGTTTTCTACAAAGATAGTTATATTGTCTTAACTCATCAGTGCCCTGGTGTGATTCTCAAACATTGTCTATGAAAATTTATAGGAATGGTCTGAAGCGAATATGATGAGGTTACTTTTATTATGAGAGGATTTATTTTTTTCTTTTTTGCAAGAGACTACGATGGCCAACCAAGAAGCAAGGATATTACGACCAATCTATTTCTAGTTCATCTTTTTTCCTAGGGTATTATTGGTTTTGAGGTCACAAATTGATGACTTAATAGAACCTCTTCTACTTTGTTTACCCTGAATCCAAGTTTGTTCCCTAAACCTCTCAACACTATTGGAAACGCTGTACAACTTGCCTATCCTTTTAGCTGCCTCTTCCAGAATCGGCTGGATCCCTTTGGCAGACATGGTGGCCGTGATGCCAGGATCATCTCCCTTGGTTTCCCATTTCTCTTACAGCTCCTAGATTGCTAGATCCTAAAATTCATTTCCTTTCTTAGCTGCCCATTCAAAGAAGCATTTTTATATATTGCCCAACGTTTTCAGTTGTTACCAGTGGGAGGCTTGGTCCTAATGGACTAATTTTGCATTATCAGAAGCTAATATGGAGTCCAGGTGTGGCATTGTAGGATAAGCACTGGACCTCAAGGTTGACTTGAACCACAAAGAGGTGGTTCAAACTCACCAACTGTTCCTCAGAAACACTATACAGAGGCACTATGAATCAGGCTGTGAACCTTCAGGTCAGCAGTTTGCCACTACCAGCTGTTCTGCGGGAGAAAGATGAGGCTTTCTGCTCCTGTAAAGATTTACAGCATCAGAAACCCTGTACAGGTTGCTATGAGTTGGAACCAACTCCATGGCACATAACCACCACATCCACAAGTCAGAACCAATTCGATGGCTCATAACAACAACAGATGTTAATATAATCTCTGCTAAGTAAATCCTGAGAGCCAATGGAGTTTTCTTTGATCGAAACAAAGCAAAGACTGCCCAAGCTTCCTTAATCTGGAAACAAATCCAAGGAAGTACAATGTCATAAAAGTTGATGTTTTAATTATATGTTTGCTTTCTTATGTCATAGTAAAAACGGCCCCCAAATTTCAGTGGCCTATGATAAACTATGTCCAAAGTATGAGAGACGAAGTTTGGCCATCTTGGCCTCTAAGGAGCATTCTGGCTACACTTCTTCCAAAATGGATCTATTTGTTCTTTTGGCAGTCCATGGCACTTATAGTATTCTCCTCCAACACCATAACTCAAAGGCATCAATTCTTCTATGGTCTTCCTTATTCACTGTCCAGCTTTTGCATGTGTATGAGGTTATTGA